TCCTGGCTCTGTGCTCAGGACTGACCCCTGGCTCTGTACTCAGGGCTGACTCCTGGCTCTGTGCTCAGGACTGACCCCTGGCTCTGTGCTCAGGGCTGACTACCGGCTCTGTGCTCGGGGCTCACTAGAACCTACGTGGTGCCAGCGATTGAACCTGGGTCGACTGTGTGCAGCACCCGTGTGCTCCTCACTGTCGTGCATCCACTGGCCGAAAGGTAGACATGGCCTCAGGGCCGTGCAGGGGAACGGGCAGAAACGCGGCCGCCTGCTCTGAAACACAGGAACCGTCGCCGAGACAGACGCCACGCGCCACTGAGCGGCCCGGAAGATTCCCACTGCAACGTCCGACAACGGCCTGATGTCTGAGATCCACAGCGCTCCCCTAGAACTCAGTAACAAGCACTCGGTGAACTTGGCAACAAGCACTCAGTGAACTAACTCACAAGTACTCAGAGAACTCAGCAATGAGCACTCATTGAACTCATCAACAAGCACTTGGTGAACCCAGCAACAAGCACTCGCAGAATTCAGCAACAAGCACTCAAGAACCAGCAGTCGTCAATGAATACAGCAAGAAGCAGAGTACTGGGAAATGAGCACTCACAGAATTCGACAACAAGTACTTGCTGAACTGAGAAATAAGTACTTCCTCAACTCGGCAGCGAGCACTTGGGGAAATGCCAAACTCTCATGGAACTCAGTAGCAAGCACTCACAGGACTGGGCAATAAGCACTCACTCACCAAACTCAGCCATGAGCACTCAGGGCACTCCGCAATGAGCCGTCACAGGACTCAGTTACAAGCACTCCTCACTGAACGGAGAAATAAGCACTTGAGAATCTTGGCCCCTGAAGGTGGTGGGGTTGGTGTTGGAACAGTAGATGGAATAGATCATCGCAAACGACTTTATAAAAATACAATAAAATTTAAAAGAATTTAAAAAATTAAACTCAGGTCGGCCACAACAACAACAAAAAAACTCAGTCTGAAGTAGTCATATAACTCAGCAATAAGCCCTTGACGACTTGAGAAATAAGCACCCCCTAGAACTCAGCAATAAGCACCCCAGGGAACTCAGCAATAAGCACCCCCAGGGAACTCAGCAACAAGTACCCACTGAACTTAGCAACACGCACTCGTAGAACTTAGCCATAAGCACTCACGGAACCCATCCACGCACACTTGCTGAACGCAACCGGCGCTCCCCAAAGTCAAAAACAAGCACTCCAGGAACTGGGGTGCAAGCACTCAGCCCCAAGCACTCGCTGAACGCAGGGGGAAGAAAACCAACAGCCCCTTCCAACCACGGGAGAGGGACTGAGCAGGCAGCATCTAGAGATGGGCATGGGAGAAGGGGGGCTCATGACCACAGCGGTTAGGGACTGATTAACCTAACTAACTAACTAACCTAAATTTAGGTTAACTAATTAACCAACCTAAATTTAGGTTAACTAACTAGCCTAAATTTAGGCTAACCAACGAACCAACCTAAATTTAGGTCAATTAACCTAAATTTAGGTTAACTAACGAAACTAAATTTAAGGTGACCAACTAACCAACCGAAATTTACGTTAACTACCTAAATTGAGGTTAGTTAGTCCTAACTCTAACTAACCTAACTAACCCTAACCCTAACCCTAACTGTGTGACGCCACGGACAGAGAGGCGTCACCTGACAGCCGTGGCTCCGGGCTGGGACAAGGACAGACGAGACTGTCCCCCCTCCCCTCCCGCACGGGACCCCAACTCTGCCCACTCGAGCCTGTCCCCAGAAGACGGGCCGAGCAGCACGCAGGATCCCACGAAGCCGCTTCCGGACCGTCTGTGCCGACTCAATCCTCGCTTCTGGGAGCATGTGGCTGGTGCCACGTGAGCTGCGGAGCCCAATGCACGTCGCCCGGGCCCACGGGACGGAGGCGCCGCGTGTGAGAGCCACTGCTCTGTGCCAACTGCGCCCGGATGCAAATTTTCCTGTGGGGAAGCTTGGAGGCGAGTGTGTGTGTGTGTGTGTGTGTGTATACAAGAGACTCAACACAGACAGGTTATTCCCTGTGGAAAAGCATATAAGTGACAGACCTCGTGTGTCTGTGTGTGTGTGCATCTGTGTGTGTCGTGCCCGCGAGACTCAGCAAAAGTGGGCTGTGTGCGAGGCCCCCAGTGGGTCTGCCACGAAACCCACCGTGCGCTCTCCCATCTGCCACGAGCCTCAGGAACGCCGAAAGTGCCGCCCACAAAGCGGGTGCGGTGAGGCCCAGGGACACCACCGCTGAGTGTCCTGCCACCCGCCTGATAAACTCTGCCCACCTGCCACGGTGCCACGAAACCCAGGAACCTTATCGCAGCCACGTGGCGGGGACGAAACCTCCAGACGGCACGGGGGAGGGGTCCGATCACTCCACGAGGAAACCAGGAACCCTCAGGCTAGGGTGGAGTGACAGTGGGTAGGGCCATTGCCTGACACATGGCTGACCCGGGTTTGACACCCCAGAATCCCTCGTGCTTCCCAGAGCCACAACAGGAGTGATTCCTGTGTGCAGTCAGGAGTAAAGGCATTGTGCTGGGTGTGGCCAGCACCCAGCTGGGTGTGGCCCCCAGCACCTCCGTGAACGGACACTGCATCCCCACGCCGTGTGCTGGAGCACACTCGGGGGCTGTCAGAAGGAAGCCGGGTGGGCTCCTTGTAGACGCTGCCCGGGCCCACGGCTGAAAGCTCCTGGCGTAGGGCTGCCACGAAGCAGCTCATTCCGTGGCAAAATCACCCCGTTCTGCCCAGGGTGGCTGCAGGGGGCGTCCTCCACCGCCCACGCACGCCGTCAGGGTTGGGGGGTAGGTGACCCCCCCGTTTTCTCTCGTGGACAGACGTCACCCACCTGCAGCTGGGGGGTGGTGGGGAGTGTCGGGTACCCACAGATGGGCACTGCCGGGGTCTCTTCACTGCATCCTCCACGCCCTAGGAGGGTGGCAGCACCCCAGGGTCACGGGTGCCCCGACAGCCAGTCCGGCGCCAGTCCGGCCAGAAGCAGGTTGTGCGTGAAGGTATTCCCTGTAGGGAAGTATAGAAGTGACAGACCTCGTGTGTGTGTGTGTGTGTGTGTGTGTGTGTGTGAGTGCACAAGAGACTCAACACAGGAAGGTTATTCCCTGTGGAAAAGCACGGAAGTGACAGACCCTGTGTGTGTGTGTGTGCCTATGTGTGTGTGCGTGCATGACACTCCACAGAAGCAGGTTGTACTCACACCCAGGAGGAGCGCGTGTGACGAACACGTGTACACACGTGTGTGACGAACACGTGCACACACGCGTGTACTCACGTGCATGCATGACGAGTCACGTGGCATACACGTGGCATGTACATGAGTACACCCGTGACTCAGCCTGTGACCCTCCGGCTCGTGCGTCAGCCGTGACACCACCTGGGCCGCGAGAGGAAGGAACTGCAGGCCCCCGGCACGCCACACGGCCACCACAGAATCACAATCACACACACTGCACCAGTGGCGGGAGAAAGAAGAGACTTTATTGCGGTGGATTCACGAGGGTCTGGGCGGGGGCGGGCGGCCCTCGGCACGCCGGGCTGGGGAGACGGCAGGCAGGCAGGCAGGGTTCGAGTGGAGGGCCTGGAGCCTCCCGAGAGGGATGGAGAGGGGAGACCAGGCCCCCAGCCCAGGTCTAAGGCGTTTCCTGAGGCCCAGATAGAGCCGGAACCGCCAGCGAGACAGACACAGTTTCCAGAGGGCCACAGACGGTCGTGAGCAACGTCAGACACCACATCCCGCACGGCCGGTGATGCGAACACTTCCCGGCGTCGCCCGTGGCTGGGGCTGTCCAGGCGTGAGGGCAGGGGGCCGTGGGGAGGGCGGGCGTGTCACTGGGAGCAGAACCCGGTCCTCGGGGCCGTGGGTGTAGCCGCGCACGCCGTCTGTGGCAATGAGTGTCTGCGTGTGTGATTGTACACGTGTGTCCTCTCCATGTGTGCATGCGTGTCTTAGTGTGCTCATGTCCCCAGTATACACGCGCCCTCATGCTGATGGCTGTCCGTGGGAGCACACTTGTGTGTGTGTGTGTGCTCATGCCAATGGCCTGTGTGGGGGAGCACACGTGTGTTAACGTGTGTCCTCTTGCTGCTGATGGTGGGAGTGTGTCTGCGTGTCCTCATGCTGACGGCTTTCCAAGGGAACACATGTGTGTCCTCACTCCGACGTGTTCATGCGAGTGTCTCCCCCGAGGGGGCGTTTGTACAGCGCTCACACCTGTGACAGGACAGGTCCACCTGTCAGGTCCGCTGTGGCACATGTGTGCATTCATCCACGCATACATGTGAGTACATGTGTGTGTAGGCATGTTCGTGACAGACACGCTCCTCCTGGGTGTGAATGCACACATGTGTAGGCATGTTCGCGACAGACATGCTCCTCCTGGGTGTAAGTACACGCATGTGTAGGCATGTTTGTGACAGACACGCTCCTCCTGGGTGTGAGCACACGCATGTGTAGGCATGTTCGTGACAGACACGCTCCTCCTGGGTGTGAATGCACACATGTGTAGGCATGTTCGCGACAGACATGCTCCTCCTGGGTGTAAGTACACGCATGCGTAGGCATGTTCGTGACAGACATGCTCCTCCTGGGTGTGAGCACACGCATGTGTACGCATGTTCGTGACAGACACGCTCCTCCTGGGTGCGAGTACACGCATGTGTATGTATGTTCATGACAGACACGCTCCTCCTGGGTGTGAGTACACGCGTGTGCACGTGTGTTCCTCATGGCCCCGTGAGGAGCCACGTGGGCACGCACATGTGTCTCCCGGGGAACCTGTGTGTCCGTGTGCGTGGTGTGCAAGGCTCCCCTGGGCCCTCATCGGGCTGTCTGGTGTCACCCGGGACTCAGCTGTGACCCTCCGGCTCGTGCCTCAGCCGTGACTGCACCTGGGCCGCGAGAGGAAGTGGAGTGTGGAGTGTGAGGGGGGCCGGGGGCTCTGTGTGTGTGTGTGTGTGTGTGTGTGTGTGTAGGGGGAGCCCAGCTCAGTCGAAGGGCGGCAGGCCGAAGAGCTCGGGCCGGAAGTCGTGCAGGGAGCCCAGCACCAGGGTGGCCTGGCCGGTCAGCTCGCGGCTCAGGTGGGCGTCGGGCACCATCACCGCCTGCATCCCTGCTGCCGTGGCCGCCGCCACGCCGTTGGGTGCGTCCTCGAACACCAGGCACTGGGGGGGGGGGGGAGGCGGGGGAGAGAGAGCGCGGGGCGAGGTGAGATGCTCCTTCCGGGCCCACCCGCGCGCGCACACACACACACACACACACACATGCACGCAGTCACACAAGGCACAGCCCCAGGCTCACACACTCACACACTGACAAACACACACACACGGAGTCACACAAGGCACAGCCCCAGGCTCACACACTCACACACTGACACACACATACACACAGAGTCACACAAGGCACAGCCCCAGGCTCACACACTCACACACTGACACACACACGGAGTCACACAAGGCAAAACTCCAGGCTCACACAATCACACACTGACACACGCATGCATACACACACACGAAGTAACACAAGGCACAGCTCCAGGCTCGTACACTGACACACACACATACACACACGGTCTCACACAAGGTACAGCCCCAGGCTTACACACTCATACACGGAGTCACACAAGGCACAACTCCAGGCTCACACAATCACACACTGACACACACACATATACACACACGGAGTCACACAAGGTACAGCCCGAAGCTCACACACACACACACACACGGGGTCACACAAGGCACAACACCAGGCTCACACACGCACTGACACACATATACACACACGAAGTCACACAAGGCACAGCCCCAGCTCACACACTCACACAGTGACACACACACATACACACACATGGAGTCACGCAAGGCAGAGCCCCAGGCTCACACACACAGGCTCACACAGACACACCGAGGCCCACGCACACTGACACAGGTACACACACAGGCTCATTCACACACACACTCACACAGACACGGTCACCCACAGCAACACACACACGCACAGACAGGGTCACACACACGTGCACACACACCGGCTCACGCAGACACATACACAAACCCACAGACACACACAGCTACACACATGGGTTCACACACACACAGACACGTGCATACACATGGATTCACAGACACACACGCACACACATGGGCTCAGAGAACACTCCCACGCAGACACACAAGCCCAGCCCACGGGCTCACATCCAGACACACACGCACACCCCCTCTAAAGGCTCACGCTGACACCCCCCCAAATGTACAGTGTCCACACGCCCACACACGGGTATACTTGGCGACACATCGACACACCTGCAGACACGCACACGCATGCAGAGCACACGTGTGCATCCAGACGCCCACACGGTCCCAGGCGGGCCCACACGTGCTCACTCCTCTCCCTGCAGATGTGTGGGTGCCCCTGGGCTGGCCCATGCACACACACACAACCTCCCGTGCTCACACACACAGAGGGACGCTCATGCCTGCTGGCATCCCCGTGTTTACACGCACACACCAGGCAGTGCCCACACGCACCAGGCTCCCAGCACAGACACACACACACACACACACGCTGACTGCTCTGCGGTTTCCTGCCGTCTGTGGCCTGGCTCTATCCCCAGCAGCCTGTGAGGGATCCTGTCTGTGTTAGTGTGTGTGTGCATGAGCCTGTGTATGGACCTGTGTCAGGGTGTGGTGGCCTCGGTGTGTTTGTGTGAACCTCTGTATGTGTCTGTGTGAGCCCGTAGGAATGCGCGCGTGTCTATCTGTGTCAGTGCGGTCTAGAGGAACCTGTGTTGTGTGTGTCTGTGTGTGTGTGTGTGTGTGCGTGAGCCTGTGTGTGGACCTCGGTGTGTCTGTGTGAGCCCATAGGAACGTGCGCATGTCTGTCTTGCTGTGTGTGTCTCTATGTATGTGTGCGTGTGTGTGTGTGTGAGCCTGTGTGTGGACCTGTGTCAGTGAGTGGGGGCCTCGGGGTGTCTGTGTGAACCTGTGTGTGTCTGTGTGAGCCCGTAGGAACATGCGCGTGTCTGAGTCAGTGTGGTCCAGAGGAACCTGTGTTGTGTGTGTCTCTCTGTGTGTGTGTGCCTGTGTCAGTGTGTGTGGGCCTCAGTGTGTGTGAGCCTCTGTGGATGTCTGTATGAGCCTGTGTAGGTAACTGTGTGTGTCTGTGTGAATCTGTAGGAACGCATCCATGTCTGTCTGTGTCAGTGTAGTCTAGAGGAACCTGTGTATGTGTGTGTCTCTGTGTGTGTGTGTGTGTGTGTGTGCATGAGCCTGTGTGTGGACCTGGGTCAGTGTGCGTGGGCCTCGGGGTGTCTGTGTGAGCCTCTGTGTGTGTCCGTGTGAGCCCATAGGAACACGCGCATGTCTGTCTTTGTCAGCGTGGTCTAGAGGAACCTGTGTGTGTGTGTCTCTATATGTGTGTGTGTGCGTGAGGCTGTGTGTGGACCTGTGTCAGTGTGTGCGGGCCTCAGGGTGTCTGTGTGAGTCTCTGTGGGTGTCCATGTGAGCGCGTGTACGTACCTGTGTGTGTCTGTGTGAATCCATAGGAATGCGTGCGTGTCTGTGTGCATGTCACTGTGTTCTAGAGGAAGATGTGTGTGTGTCTGTGTGTGAGCCCATGACTTTGCCTTGTGCGACTGTCTGTGTCAGTGTGTGAGCCTGGGGCTGTGACTTGTGTGACTCTGTGTGTGTGTGTGTGGCCCTGCCTTGTGTGACGCACCCAGCCACGTGGCTGTTTGTCAGGGCCACGGATCTGCCGTTTCCCTTCATCCTCACGCTCTGTGCGTGGCCACCTGCAGGCTGAGGTGCGGGCGGCCAGCCCGGGCTCAGCGTGGCATGAAGGGCCAGCCCAGGGGCTTCCTGTGGGCGACAAGAGCCAGGCGGACCAACCCACGGCCACACTGCATGCCGGAAGCTCTTGGTTCAGTGCTCCGCTCAGCGCCCTGGCGGCCACCGCCCTGAGCCGTGGCTCCCACCCTGCACACAGGCTCCCACGCACAAAGCCAGCGTGACCCTCCGGCGGGGAGGGCGCTGGCCTGGCACACGGCCGGCCCAGGTCCTGGGGTCCCGTTTCTGATGTCCCCGATGGCCCACGGAGCCCCGCCGGGAGTCACGGCAGAGCACTGAGGTGGGAGTCCCCCCCAAGCAGCGCCCGGCGTGGCCCCAACACCCAAGTGCCAAGGTCAAACAAAGCGTCCAGCGAGCGTGCAGAGAATACGGCCCCTAAGCAAGTCCTGGGGACCCACAAGTCCTGCTGTGGGGGACCCACGCGGCGTGGACAGAGGGAAGGTGCATGGACACTTCCTCCAACCGGCCGGCGGGCACAGGGCGCCCTGCCCTGCCACGGCCGCAGAGCCCCGGGCCCGAGTCCAGCCCAGGACAGGGTCCCCGCCAGCCCACGTGGGGGGATGCTGCCATGGGCACGGCCAGCCACGTCTCGGGGACTCCACCCGCGGCGTCCAGAGCACCCGGAAGGTGACGGAAGGAGGGGTTGGGAGCAGGCGGGACCCAGGGCGGGGAAGAGGCGGAAACGGCCGCAGGGGAGATGGACACAGACGGGAGGGAGAGGGGCCAGGAGGAAGTGAGGGCAGGAGGAAAGGAAGGCGGGAGGAAATGAGGGCAGGAAGAAGTGAGGGTGGGAGGAAGTGAAGGTGGAAGTGAGGGTTGGAGGAATTGAAGGCAGGAGGAAGTGAGGACGGAAGGAAATGAGGGCAGGAGGAAGTGAAAGCGAGAGGAAGTGAGGGTGGAAGTGAGGGCGGGAGGAAGTGAGGTTTGGAGGAAGTGAGGTTTGGAGGAAGTGAGGGCGGGAGGAAGTGAGGGCGGGAGGAAGTGAGGGTTGGAGGAAGTGAGGGTTGGAGGAAGTGAGGGCGGGAGGAAGTGAGGGTTGGAGGAAGTGAGGGCGGGAGGAAGTGAGGGTTGGAGGAAGTGAGGGCGGGAGGAAGTGAGGGCGGGAGGAAGTGAGGGTGGGAGGAAGTGAAGATGGAAGAAAGGGAAGGTGGGTGGAAGTGAGGGCGGGAGGAAGTGAAGGAGGGAGGAAGTGAGGGCGGGAGGAAGTGAGGGTGGAAGTGAGGGTGGAAGTGAGGGTGGGAAGTAGTGAAGGCGGGAGGAAGTGAAGGAGGGAGGAAGTGAGGACGGGAGGAAGTGAAGATGGAAGAAAGGGAAGGTGGGTGGAAGTGAGGGCGGGAGGAAGTGAAGGAGGGAGGAAGTGAGGGCGGGAGGAAGTGAGGGTGGGAGGAAGTGAGGGCGGGAGGAAGTGAAGGAGGGAAGAAGTGAGGGTGGGAGGAAGTGAAGGTGGGAGGAAGTGAGGGTGGGAGGAAGTGAGGGCGGGAGGAAGTGAGGGCGGGAGGAAGTGAGGGCGGGAGGAAGTGAGGGCTGGAGGAAGTGAGGGCGGGAGGAAGGGTTGGAGGAAGTGAGGGCGGGAGGAAGTGAGGGCGGGAGGAAGTGAGGGCGGGAGGAAGTGAAGGCGGGAGGAAGTGAGGGTGGGAGGAAGTGAAGTGCGGGAGGAAGCGAGGGTGGGAGGAAGCGAGGGTGGGAGGAAGTGAGGGCGGGAGGAAGTGAGGGTGGAAGTGAGGGTGGAAGTGAGGGTGGGAAGTAGTGAAGGCGGGAGGAAGTGAGGGCGGGAGGAAGTGAGGGCGGGAGGAAGTGAAGATGGAAGAAAGGGAAGGTGGGTGGAAGTGAGGGCGGGAGGAAGTGAAGGAGGGAGGAAGTGAGGGCGGGAGGAAGTGAGGGTGGGAGGAAGTGAGGGCGGGAGGAAGTGAAGGAGGGAGGAAGTGAGGGCGGGAGGAAGTGAGGGTGGGAGGAAGTGAGGGCGGGAGGAAGTGAAGGTGGGAGGAAGTGAAGTGCGGGAGGAAGCGAGGGTGGGAGGAAGTGAGGGTTGGAGGAAGTGAGGGTGGAAGTGAGGGTGGGAAGAAGTGAAGGCGGGAGGAAGTGAGGGCGGGAGGAAGTGAAGATGGAAGAAAGGGAAGGTGGGTGGAAGTGAGGGCGGGAGGAAGTGAAGGAGGGAGGAAGTGAAGGAGGGAGGAAGTGAGGGTGGGAGGAAGTGAGGGCGGGAGGAAGTGAAGGAGGGAAGAAGTGAGGGTGGGAGGAAGTGAAGGTGGGAGGAAGTGAGGGTGGGAGGAAGTGAAGTGCGGGAGGAAGCGAGGGTGGGAGGAAATGAGTGGCAGGAAAGGAGTGGGAGAAGGAAGGGTGGCAGGAAGTGAGAGTGGGAGAAAAAATTGGGAGGAAGCAAGGACAGGGGAAGTAAGAAAGGAGGAAGGGAGAGCGGGAGGCAGTGAGGGAGGGAGAGGAAACAGAATAGAGAGAGGAAAGAGGAGAACGGGGAGAGAGGGAGAAACGGACGGGGGGGGAGAGAAATAGGGAGAGACCGAGAGGGAGACAGAGAGATAGGAGGACAGAGAGATGGAGAGACAGAGGGACAGAGACGGAGAGACAGAGAGATAGAAGGACATAGAGACCAAGAGACAGAAGGACAGAGTCAGAGACACAGAGAGATAGGACACAGAGATATAGGACAGAGACAGAGAGATAGGACAGAGAGACCGAGAGACAGAAGGACAGAGAGCGACCGAGAGGAAGAGAGCGAGAGACACACAGACTGGACCATCCTTGCCGAGCCCGACGGACACGCCTTGCTGAGTACACGGCTGGGCAGGGTAGCAGAGTGGATGCCGAGCCCAGGTTCGACGGACCCCGCACAGGCAGCGTCCCCCGCCGCCCCAGCCACAGCACCGCCACCAGGAACGCGCACCTCTGAACCCAAAGCCCCGCCTGGCCTGGCCCCCGACCCCCAACAAGCACAGTTCCTACGCGAGCACTTGCTCCCAGTGCTCCTCTGAGCACGTCCCGGGGGGGTCCTGCAGGGAAGGACACAGGACCAGGAGACGAGGGGACCCCCCATCGAACCTACACAAAACAAACATGGACACACAGCACGCAGGCACGCACACGTGCAAACACAACACACAAACGCACATATACACACAACACGCAAACACACACATGTCCACACACACAACAGACACACGCACATACGTGCACCCAACACGCATAACACCAGAGACCACACACAGACATGTATGCACACACACGCACGCACACACACATACGCACACAGATGCACACACGTGTGCACAAACACATGCACCCAACACACATAACGAAACACAGCCCACGCACACACATAAAGACGTTCGCACACACACACAAACACGTAAACACACACACGAAACACATGAACATACGCACACACCACACGCAGGCACACATACACACACATACACAACAGACAGAACATACACACGCGCACACACAAGCACCCAGCACACATAACACAACAGAGCACACACACACAGATCAGCACACACACACGCGCACACACAGACATATCAGCACACACGTGCATAGACACATTTGCACACACACACGAACACACACACAAAACACACGAACATATGCACACACCACACGCAGGCACACACGCGCACACATACACAACACACGCAACTGACACACACAAGCACACACATGCACCCAACACACACAACATAACAGGCACACACACACATAGACACATGCACGCGCACACACACTACCCACATGCGTCACTCTCTAGGAGGGCGGCCCACGTGGCTTGGGGGTTGTCCACGAAACGTGTCCCCCCCCAATGTAGCCTTTTCCTGCACCCCGTGGTTCACGCATGTTGGGTGACAGACCCGTGCCCAGCGCCCAGCCCGACGCCACCCCCCCTGCCCGGGAGCTGGCACACAGCAGAGGGGCCACGCGTCGTGGCCACTGACCTTGTCGGCGGGCGCGGGCGGCGAGAACCTCCCGGCGCAGGCGAGGAAGATGTCGGGGTGTGGCTTGCCGCTGCGCACCTCGGGGTCGTCACCCAGCACCACGTGGTGGAAGAGGCCGAAGAAGGGGCCGTGGCGGCGTGTCTTCAGCTCGAAGGAAGTGGCACCCGAACTGGTGGCCACGGCGATGGGCACCCGGTGTTTGTGGAGGTGGCGGATCAGCCGATCGGCCCCTGGGGAGCAGGAGGGGACAGTGGTCAGCGTAGCGGAGGCCGCCGGGGATCCAGCCCCTAGCCGCCGGGCCTGTGGCAAGTTGGGGCCGGCACGGAGGGGTTTCAGGCACGGCGGGATCCAGGAGGCAGGGTCCCCGGCACGTGGCCAGCTCCGGGCTGAACAGGGATAGAAAGTCGGGCCACACACGGCGGCCCCAGGCTCTCACGCCCTCCTCAAAAGCCACAGGGTGGCGCCTACCCAAGGCAGGGCTCAGGGGACACCCCCATCTTCCCCACGACTGCTGGGCCGGTTGAGGCCAGGGTGGGACACGCCACAGGAGAGCAGGAAATGAATGAGTCTCTCTGAGGCCTGGGCGATGCCAGCCGCCCCCAACCCCACGGACCCCAGCAGGCTCCATACCCGCTAGGCTGCCCCAGGCCCCCAGACCCCAGCCGGGACTATCCTCACACACCCATCCCCCAGTGAGGCATGGCTGGGAGGCGGCAGGATGAAGGCCTTTGGCCTCGCACGTGGTGGACCCTGGTTCGATTCCCAGCACCTCAAACGGTGCCCCCCCAACCCGAACCCCATCAGGAGTGATCCCTGAGTGCAGAGCCAGGAGGGAAGCCCTGAGCATCGCCGGGTGGGACCCTCGCCAAACCAAAGTGTAGAAATAACACAGTGAGGCCGGAGAGCTGTGACTGGGGTAAGGGACCTGCCTTCCCGTGGCCGGTCCCACTGCATATGGTGCCCTGAGCACACCAGGACTGGGCCCTGACCACAGAGCCGGGAGTGATCTCTGAGCATAGAGCCGGGAGTCAGCCCGAAGCAGAGCCAGGAGTGAGCCCCGAGCACAGAGCCGGGAGGGAGACCTGAGCACAGAGCTGCGAGTCAGCCCTGAGCACAGAGCCGGGACTGCACCCTGAACACAGACCTGGGAGTCAGCCCTCAGCACAGAGCCAGGAGTGAGCTCTGAGCACAGAGCCGGGAGTGAGCCTTGAGCACAGTGTCAGGAGTCAGCCCTGAGCACAAAGTCAGGAGTGAGTTCCAAGTACAGAGCCAGGGATCAGCCCTGAACACAGAGCCAGGAATCAGCCGTGAGCACAGAGTGAGGAGTGAGTCCTGAGTACAGAGCCAGGAGTGAGCCCTGAGCACAGAGCCAGGAGTGAGCCCTGAGCACAGAGAGTCAGTCCCAAGCAGAGCCAGGAATCAGCCCCTAGCACTGAGTTAGGAGTGATCCCTGAGCACAGAGCTAGGAGTGATCCCTGAGCACAGAGCCAGGAGTGAGCCCTGAGCACAGAGTCAGGAGTCAGTCTTGAGCTCAGAGCCAGGAGTGAGCCCCGAGCAGAGCCAGGAGTGAGTCCTGAGCACAGAACCAGGAGTCAGTCCCGAGCACAGAACTAGGAGTCAGTCCTAAGCAGAGCCAGGATTCAGCCCCGAGCACTGAAGTCAGGAGTGATCCCTGAGCACAGAGCTGGGAATGAGCCTTGAACACAGAGTCAGGAGTGAGTCCCAAGTACAGAGCCAGGAATGATCCCTAAGCCCAGAACTAAGAGTCAGCCCTGAGCACGAAACTAGGTAGGAGTCAACCCTGAACACAGAACTAGGAGTCATCGCTGAGCACAGAGCCAGGAATCAGCCCAGAGCACAGAGCCAGGAGTGAGCCCTGAACACAGAACTAGGAGTCATCCCTGAGCACAGAACTAGGAGTCAACTCTGAGCACAGAGCCTGGAATCAGACATGAGCACTACCACTTGAGTAAGCATCAGCCTTGGGCATTCTACCCAAATCACAGTGACCGCTTTGGTGGCCAGAAAAGTGGCTCCCCGTGTGTCGAGGATGCACGAAGTAAAACCTGACCATTACTCTGGGGACAAGAGACGAGGCCGGGAAGGGGGGGTGACACGGAGGGGCAGAGCCAGGGCAGAAGGGCATGGACAGCTGTGGAGAAGTGTGCAGCCCACTACCATGCCCAGGGAGCCCCGAAGTTTGGCCCCCCCAGGGACCACACCAAGGCACTGTCCCAACCAGGAAGGGCCACCAGCACGGGCGGAGCACCAGGTCCAGACACGCAGCGAGGCACTAGGGGATGAGCCAATTCCACCCAGAACAAAACCACCCGGGAATTACATGCTCCTGCGGTTGAAACTGTTGCAATTTGATCCAGGGGCTTTTTGAGGCGAGTGTTACACTGTAGCTACTGGTTTGCTGGGCTTTTGTGGCAAGTGCTACATTGTAGCTACTGGTTCTGCTGGGCTTTTGTGGTGAGTGCTACATTGTAGCTACTAGTTTGCCAGGGATTACTTTACTATTGTTTCTTTTTGTCTTTTTGCGGGGTGGTTCTGGATTGCTTTAGTTTCTGTTTTTGCAAGCGCACACACCTGGCGGTTCTCACCGCAGCTCCTGGGGAAGCAGAGGTGTGGGGGGCTAAGGTGTGGTGGTGGTGGGGGGGTGGAAATTAAAGTGGGAAGGGACTGCCTAGTGCTTCACCCCAACGGTTGGAGCTTTCTCACCTCCTGAAACATTGTGTAGGGCCAAAGCCAGAGTTGTGGTCCTGGCATGTGACAAGCCGGAGGTTTGATTCTCCAGGACCTTGGCTTTCCCAAACCCAGCCCTGGAATTACAAAACAGAGGAAGCAAAGAAAAGCATGTTCTAATAAGCCTTAGAAAACGTCCCCGACTCTTGGGAGGCTGGCGGACAAGGCAGGATGAGATGAAAACGTGTGAAATTCCAGGCCGGGGTCTAGATGGTCAGTGGCAGCTGGTCCCCCGAGTGTCCCCTGGAGTGACCCTCCCCCACCCCCCAGCACCAAGCCCCCATGGAAAGGATGTGGGGTGTGTTCCAAAGCCCAGCCACCAAACCACCACCACAAACACCAAGTGGACGAAGGAGCCTGGACCAAGAGCATCCCTAAAACACGCTTGCCTCAAGCACCTATTCCGGGGTCCCCCACTGCCAAGGACGCCTGCTGATTGACTGGTCCCTGAAGACAGGCTCTGCATCAGCATCTGGGCTCAATCACCCCCACTAACTGCTCCACACAGGCAAGCCCTTCCATTCGGGGATGTCTGCCCTGCTGATTTGATCCACCACAAACGCACCCTCTGGCATAATGAGGGTTCCCTCCCCTTCTGAATGGTCCAGACAGACATGCCCCGCTGTCATAATCAGAGCCTCTATCCCCTTCTGTTTGGCCCACAGGCACGCCCCTCTGTCATCATCAAAGCTTCTTTTCCTTCTGATTGGTCCGCAAAGACATGCCCCTCTGTCACAATCAGAGCCTCTATCCCCTCTGATTGGCCAAGAGACACGCCCCTCTGGCGTAACCAGAGCCTCTTCCCCTTCTGATTGGTCCACAGACAAGCCCCTCTGTCATAATCAGAGCCTCTTCGCATTCCGATTGGTCCACAGCCACGCCCCTCTGGCATAATCAGCGCTTCTCCCTCTTTTGATTGGTCCACAGATATGCCCTGTCATAAACCTTCTTTCCCTTCTGATTGGCCCACAGACACGCACTTCTGACATAAACAGAGCTTCTTTCCCTTCTGATTGGTCCACACAGACACGCCCCTCTTGCATAATGAGGCTTCTTTCCCTCCTGATTGGTCCACACAGACACGCCCCTCTTGCATAATGAGGCTTCTTTCCCTCCTGATTGGTCCATACAGACACGCCCCTCTGGCATAATGAGGCTTCTTTCCCTCCTGATTGGTCCACAGATATGCCTTGTCATAATCAAACCTTCTTTCCCTTCTGATTGGTCCACAGATATGCCCTGTCATAATCAAACTTTCTTTCCCTTCTGATTGGCCCACAGACACGCCCCTCTGGCATAACCAGAGCTTCTTTCCCTCCTGATTGGTCCACAGATATGCCTTGTCATAATCAAACCTTCTTTCCCTTCTGATTGGTTCACGCTGACACGCCCCTCTGGCATCATCAGGGCCTCTTTCCCTCCTGATTGGTCCACACAGACACGCCCCTCTGTCATAATCAGAGCCTCTTCACATTCTGATTGGTCCACAGCCACGCCCCCTGGCATAATCAGCGCTTCTCCCTGTTCTGATTGGTTCACGCAGACACGCCCCTCTGGCATAACCAGAGTCTCTCACCCTTTTGATTGACCCAGACACGCCCCTCTGGCATAATGAGGCTTCTTTCCCTCCTGATTGGTCCACACAGACACGCCCCTCTGTCATCATCAGGGCTCCTCCCTCTTCTGATTGGTCCACAGACATGCCCCTCTGTCATCATCAGCACTTCTTCCCCACCTGATTGGTCCACACAGACACGCCCCTTGGCATCATCAGCACCTTCCCCTCCTGATTGGTCCACACAGACACGCCCCTTGGCATCATCAGCACCTTCCCCTGCTGATTGGTCCACAGAGCCACGCCTCTCCGAGCATCCTCAGAGCCTCTTCCCTGCTGATTGGTCCAGACACGCCCACCTGGCATCATCATCATCATCATCATCGGCTCCTTCCTCCGCTGACTGGTCCACAGGGACACGCCCTCTCCTCTGGCATTCTCCAGGCCGCCGCTGAGTGGTCCTGAGGCGCCCCTGTGTGATAATCGGACCTTTGACGGATGCGCTCAGACACGCCTCTGCATCATAATCAGGGCCGCTTCCTCCGAGCACCGCCAGCCAGGCCTCCAATTTAACTTGCTAAATACCTGCGTGGGCCACATCGCTCACCTTCAAAGCATGAAGGAGATGAAGGAGGCTGAATTAATAATATGCCCTCTCTCCAGGCAGCACTGTATTTCGCCCCCTAAGGAGCTCAAGGTGACTTCCACCTCCTCAAAGACTCACCCAGCAAATGCCTTCAGAGAAAAAAAAAAAATTAAAAAAAAAAAAAAAGCATCGTGAAGAGGTAGGTGCAGTGATTCAGGACAGAGAGAAATCAGCATCCTGGCATCAGGACGTCACGTACGTGTGTCTGTGTGTCTGTGTGTGTGTGTGTGTGTGTGTGTGTGTGTGTAGGGGCAATTCAGATTCAGATATAACTGGCAGAT